CTCTATTACGTTTGTCGATTCCACTATATATTGTATTTTATTCCAAGCAAGCTAGTCCTTTTAGAGACAGATTTGTAAATAATAACTTGGACCAATTAGATTTGTAAAACCAAATTTGATTGAGTAGCTTGTATAGATTTTTTTTTTACTGTGTCCGTTATTATTTTTTATTTGATAAACTTGCCCAATTGTTCATAAAATTCTTGCCAGCTTTTTCTTTGAATGTTTTGTATAGTGTCTCCTTCCCATTGCAATTTCGGCGTTTGAAGTACTAAGAGCTTCTCTGTGAAAAATATTATTATAAAATATTCAACCAGATTTGCCTATCATCTTTAAACATAATAGAAACTGTCGTTGCTGTATGTTTGTGCAATACTGTGTTTGTTTGTAAATACATTATAAAGAAAAATACTCAGTAATGCTGCAGCAATAAAAAAAAAAAACTTTTGCTCAATTTTATTTTAAAATAATATTCTACAATTTTGATCGCGTTTTCAAATGAATATTTAATTCTCCATTTTATTACTTGTATAGAATGATAATTTTTTTTCTATGTGAAATAATGCCATGAATTTAATCTAGGTTATTTTAGATACATATTTACTTTTTACTTTCACCTTTTTTATTACCAATAATCTTATCATATTTGTGTTACTTGACGTATTTAAAAAAATAGAATTTGATAGTTGTAGTTTTTGTTATACCTTCCCCTTTCATCTTTTTTAAAATAATATTTACGATAGTTTAAGAAAATGCACACAGAAGAAAAAGAACAGCGAGTGCATAAAATACTTTGTTTATTTTATATATATTTTTGTCATGTTACTTAATATAATTCATTTTCGTGGTAACACACACAATATATATTTTTTAATTAAAAAGGCATATATTGGATCAAAATATCATTTATTTTACCTTATATACCTTTTTAATTAAAGATTTATTTTTATATTGCTTTATTTTCAAAACACAATATTATTATCATAATATTTCTTCGAATAGTTTGTGAAAATTGAAATGATTGATATAATTTATTTTAAATAGAGAGAGATTTTACTTTTAATGAGAGAAAAAATAGATGTTTTTCGCCAATTTTCATCTTAATAAATATATGATATTCTATAATATCATAAATTACTATATTATATAAATACATTTTAAAAATATATGTGTTTTTATAAATGTTATTTCATTCAAAGAACTATTTTTAAATGTACACTTTCAATTTATTTTTATTATTATTTTGTAATATCTGTTGAATCATTTTTTTGCATTTGTTATTACATTCACAAGTTGTGTGCCATTTTTTAAAACATGTTTACGACGCTCTCTGAGATCCTCTGTGTACGATTATTCTCTATATAAATGCAAGAACAAGAAATAAAATCATTTCTGAAGCATAAGCTTGTAGTTTTTTTAATAATTAAACTTTTTATACACACATAAGTATGTAAAAAATAATTTTAAAAAAAGTCAGGTGTTGAAATTAAAAACAAAGAATGCATATCCTGACCATGAGCTCATTGTGCTTTTTAGATGGCAGAGCGCCATCTAGTGGAACAGAATCAACTAAACGTTTATTTAACCTGTTCCCTGATATTTGGCCAAGCCATTTTCTTGATGAATAAGGAAAAGCCAGGCTTTTTTGATGGCTTTTCTTGATTTATCAAGAAAAAGGGTTGTCCAAATATCAGGGAACAGGTTAAATCAACGTTTAGATGATTTCTGTTCTACTGGATGGTGCTCTACCATCTATAAAGCACATGTTCTCGTGGTCAGGATATGCCTTCTTTGTTTTTACGAGGTGTGTTCAAAAAGTATTGCGACTTTTGTGTTTTTTCAAAAATTATTTATTTATTCATGAATACCTATTTTGTCCCCTTCAAAGTAATCCCCATGAGATATTATACACTTGTGCCAACGGTTTTTCCAATCTTCGAAGCACTTCAAAAAATCATTTTTTAAAAATCTTTTCAGCTCCTCCTTCGATGCCGTCTTTATCTCGTCAAGCGTAGCGTAACGTCGTCCTTTCATGGGCCTCTTCAGTTTAGGGAACAAGAAAAAGTACACATAAGTATGTACCAAAATAGGCACCTCTCCCTATTATGCATCAGAAGAATGTACCGTGCATCACCCTAATAATAAAGATATTTACTTAGTGATGATAAAGAATGATCAACAACACCAATTTTGACAAATTCAGAGGTGCCTCTTCTGGTTTATGAATATTATCTTCCAGCAACTTAATGTTGTATTCTTTGCTGAAAATCGACCCTTGCTACTTCACCAGTTTAAACACCTGTTTGGTAAATTTGACCAATTTCCTAATCCCTCGCGACGATTCAAAGAGGAATATCCGAGCTCAGGCTGGCTCTCGGCTCCTGACGGAATCCAGATGTAAATATTCCATTACTGACTCTTGACTGAGTGTAATTGTTGACTAAATCTATATTAATAAAATGGAAATTTCATAAGTGGACATCACTAAAAACTTTCGTTACAATGCATCAATTTCAACCAAATTTTCAACATTTATGTAAAACGAGATGGAGCAGGTTTTGCTTAACATCAAAATATATTTCCTAACATTAACATGCGTAACTTCGCTGTTATCGATTAAATACAAAAAATCAACAGAGTTAATTTTATTTATATATAAATACAAAATTAAATTTCAACAGAGTTAATTTTTTTACATACTAGCTAATAATCTCAATCTAAAAAATATTCAAAACAAGCAATTTTAAGATAACACCATATGTAAAACAGTCGGCCAAGAAAACAACAACGATATTACATCTTTCTCACATATTCACACACAATATTGATTAATAATTAAAACTAATCTTTAACATTGTTTATTATACTTCAACTTTTATTTCTACATTTGTTTTTAAATACCCAATTGTTTTATCATGTTTCTAATTTCGCCTAACAAATATACAAATTTATAGTGACCAACATATGCAAATTTTATCTTTGTTTTTATTTAACTTGATATCGTAAACATAACATCCATTGTAAGCATTTTTCTGTTCACCTTCCGTGGTTTCTCTTTTCTCTGATAGTTTTTAGGTGTAGTATATTTTCTTATTACTAGACTACAAACATTCCCTCGAGAAAAACCTGGGCGAAGCCGGGTACATCCGCTAGTAGTCAATAAAGTTTATTTTCATTGTCATTGTCTCTAGTAGAATGTTATGAAATCAAAGCCCCCCCTGTACTGATGAGAGCCAATGTACAGAACCATGGGATACAGGTTGTTGGCTTTTGTCTAAATTTTCCAAAACTGGTGTTGTGGCCCATTATCATGACTAGTAGAATTTTTCACCAGGTTGATGCACAGTATATCTTCCTGTTGCACAATTAAAGGACCTTGTTTGTTACTTGGATATTATCCTTCTGAAACATTGTGTTGTACACATTGTTAACACAAAGTAATAACGCGCCATCTATACATATAAAATGAAAGAATTTAAAAGCACGGATGTTTCTTTTATACATAATACAAACTTCTACTGCCCTCACTGCGATGAAAAAATATGTATTGGGAGGGCTTGGTTCATCAGTGGTGAACCCTCCCAGCGGTTTCGCCAATTTAATCCACCAGACTGCTTCTCAGAGCTCTAATACTGTATTGGATGATTCTGCTTATATACGAAGCACTGAAGGGTTGAATCTCAGAAATGGTTTTCAAAAAAACTATGGACATAAGCTTATAGGACAGTAGAATCACATTCAAATATTTGCATCGAGCAATGCTCTTTGTACACATAAATATATGAAACCTAATATGTAAGTCAATTTTCTATTTAACCATTTTCCCCCAATTTTCAATCTTATATATATGTCATAATATATACTCTTCCAGGAATAATAAAGCAAACCTAGAGCCATCCCAGAGAGAGACGGGATGTAAAGTCCGGTCACTTGAGACAGCAGCGACATTCCAAGGGGCGGCAAATGGGGCCCGTCCGTCAACACCTTGGGACTTTCAAGACAGTTGGTGATTGTGGTACGACACGAACGGCCGCTCAGCGGTGGCAGTCCCGTCTCTCCCCTCCCCCTCTCTCTCTGGTTGTCTGGGTTCCTTCTCCAACTTGTGGTGTCCTTATTTCTCTCCCCACCTTATATTGCCACATATACATATATTTTGACTAAATCAATAGGTATCTAGAGTTTGGTTTCTTTTTACAATTATTTTATTTCTCGAAATTTCGGGCTAAATGCTCTTCAAAACGGAGACCTAGGAGTATAACTGGTGTTTAAGTATAACTTGTTGTACTACCTAGTAGAAGTAATACTTCTGGTGTCTCTGTGTTGAAGGGTTTTTAGCCTGAAAGTTCGAGAAATAAAAGAAATGAGAAACCAAACCTTTGATTCCTTTAAAAGAGAAAATTGCCATAAAGTATAAAATATAAACGGTAGCAATGCATTTCCTTATTCGTTTCAAATTAAATTCTGAATTCTTTCTCCATCGGTCTAGTTGCAAGGATTTCTCTCTCTCTTGAAGAAAAACATCTTTTATCTCTCAACGTATAAAAGTAAGAGATTCCATTAAAAGAGAAAATTGCTATAAGGTATTAAAATAAACAAGTATCAGAGTTATCAATCAATTCTTAATTCTGTCACCGTTTGCTTTTGTGAATGGAATAAATACCCAAATATGGCCATTTCTCATAAGCATCGATGGTTCAGTGGTAAAATGCTCGCCTGCCACGCGTGCGGCCCGGGTTCGATTCCCGGCCGATGCATTTTTTTTTTTTACAATTTTTAAAACTCATTTATATATTATACAAGAATGACATCCACGGCGCCAATTTATAATTGTAACGAATATTATTTGAATAAAAGCATTTAATCGAGTAAAACCTGGGTGTTGCCCGGGTCATTCGGCTAGTTAAAATATACAAGTATCAGAGTCATCAATCAATTCTTAATTCTGTCACCGTTTGCTTTTGTGAATGGAATAAATACCCAAATAATGCCATTTCTCATAACCATCGGTGGTTCAGTGGTAGAATGCTCGCCTGCCACGCGGGTGGCGCGGGTTCGATTCCCGGCCGATGCATTTTTTTTTTTACAATTTTTAAAACTCATTTATATATATACAATAATGACATCCACGGCGCCAATTTATAATTGTAACGAATAGTATTTGAATAAAAGCATTTAATCGGGTAAAACCCGGGCGTTGCCCGGGTCATTCGGCTAGTAAAATATAAACGGTAGCAATTCGTTTCTAGATTCCTTGTTGATTTAATCAGAATGTAAAAGCAGAGATGAATCCTTTATATAAGTTTTATATTATACCGGCACCAACTAACATTTATAGGAAGACAATATACTCTCAGGTTTAGCTGAAAATAAGATTGTGCAAGAGATGTTTTAATGATATAACATGTCTTATTTATTTATTTAACAGTTGGGAGAGACACGCCATATCCACAATTTGGATAATTGCGTGTATATTTTAAATTATATACAATTAATACAATTGAACATTGGAAATCATTAAAATTAAACGTTCGATGTCAAATTTTACATAGAGCAATTAAAAGTAGTAGCTTGAAATATGTACAGTCAACACTTTCGCCTCAAAATATACATCCTGCAGAATCTATTAAACTTGATGTATTGGTCTTTATTGCAAGCAGCTTGTTTTGTATTAGTCAGGTAAAGTTGGTTTTCTTCCCTTAGATCAGAAGTTAATGGACAGTTTATCAGAAGGTGTTCAGGGGTTTGTTGTTCGTTTCCACAAGTGCATGCAGGTGAACCAATTTTGCCAATTCTAAACAAATATGTGTTGAAGTCACCATGTCCAGTAAAAAATTGAATATTACTGATATTTTAACTTTCCTAAAAGATACGTAATTATTATTATTATTATTATTATTATTATTTTATTTCCAAAGCGCTATATCCCGCAAGGGATACTTGCGCCAAATAAGGAGAAAAATTTATTTACATAAGTTATTTACATTATTCAACGCATGAAAACATTAGAGATCCAGATTTTGTAGAAAGTTTAGAATGTATTTACAAAATAAACTGAACTTTAAATATGATTTTTTTAACGGAAATCAAATCGTTATGATCACAAACAACTAGTTCATTCTTCATTCTATAATCTTGAAATGCTGGGCAATCGATCAGTAGATGTCTTGAGGTTTGTTCCCCAATACCACAAAAACAACTTGAATCCTCCACTGCCTTTATTCGATTTAAAAAACCTTTGAAATTTCTGTGGTTTGTAACAAATTGAGTATTATAAAAATTTGGACGAAAGTATTTAGGGATTTCTTGGGGAAAAAAGCTTAAGAAAGTATTATTTGCTTCATTTTTCAGAACATTCATGAATAGAGGAAAACAATAAATTAGCATTTCTTGACATTCAAATAATGAAGAATAGAATAGATACCTTTATCTATATATATACTGAAAGTTGCTACCTATATAGGAAATTACCTCAATTTAAACTCATTTGGCTCCAGACATCACAGAATTTCAGTCATCATAAATTTTTCTGAAGATTAAACACCCGTTAAATCAGCAAACAATAGAGGAAAGAACTAAAGAGATTTATCAAAGATTTACAATATAAGAGCTACCAGGATAATTTCTCTCTCAGAGAAAACAACGTTAAAAATTCGGTTGATGCAAAAATAATGGCCGATTTCATAAATACAAATTCAATCGTTGATAATTGCAATTAATTATTTTAAATATTTCCAAGTAATATCATTATAAAGCTTATTTGTTGCTCTGTCACTATATCTACCAATATTGTCGCGCGCTGCCCCTCCGGTCCTTCGCGACTACGCCGCTTCTTCCTTCGTGGATCACCTACCCGGGCTCCCGTTGCTCTCATCTGCAACTCTACCCTGCAGAGCCTGAGAACCACCACTCAAGTGGATCTCCTTTCCTCTGGCAGTATATCTCGTCCTTATTACTGGTGGGGAGACACGAGATACGTACCAGAAGAGTAGCGACTGTGGTGTTGGTGAGAGTAACAACAGCAACCGGCAACAAGACTTCTAACACTCCACCTCTTTTATTGTCATTTCTACTACACATTACATATAACTAGAATATCATTCAACGGGTGTTTACATTACGTTACTTCCTAGAGCCAATATAAACGTGTATTTACAAACATTTGCCCCAGGAAACAGGACTACAGCAGTCGGCGATTCCCACACCAGTTTCAGATCGGAAACAGATGAAAGCGCCATCTATTGTCGGAGGTTGTAGGTATTTTCAGGCCTTATACGCGACAAAATATTTACAACAATACATTTTGTGTGTTACTAACAATAGATAATTGCTCAATAAACAAGAAACCTCCTTGGAGAGTTGGGAGGTCGCTAGGCCTAACAAGGGGGACTGGAGCCGTCGTCAGGGTGGAGCCTCTTTAGGGCGGGTGTGTGGCCCCGTCCGGCCTGGACACCAAAAACAAGAAACAAGAAAAAAATCAAATAACTTCTAC